GAGGACTCTTGCCCTTGGTTTCATGCTCTCTCCAAGTTCACAAAGGCTTGGGTACTCAGGACAGTTTCCTAAACCCTGCTTCTTTCCCAGGATTTCCTGGGCCATCTGCTCCCTGCTCACTTTATTTCCTCATGTGTCTCACCCTCTCTGTGTCCGTTCATTTAATGCAACTTTTCATTTTCACTGAATGTGGATGACAATGTGGGGGTGTCTTTCCCCCTTGATTTTTTTCCTCCCTTCTTTTCTGAACATCTACATTTACCCCAATACAAGACGACCCTGAATTTAAGATGACCCCTCCCAACAATTACATTCTATACTTGAAAAATGTATAAATTTGTCATTATTTTCCATGTATAGAACCTAATTATTGGATGGTCATTCTAAATTAGTCCTCTCACCCCATCTCCCCACTGCTGCAGGGTGGCAGGCAGTGAGGGGGAGCAGGTAGTGTGGGGAGGTCAAGCATTTTGCCCCCTGCTGCTTACTCCCCCTTCCCCTCCCTCCCACAGCTTCTGCTCTCCCCCCTGTGCCTCCCTTGTCTTTGCCCTGATGCCAGCAGGCTCCATCCCAGCTCCAGCTTGGGGCACAGAGCATGCCCCAGCTCAGTACTGCTGCTACAGCAGTGGGCAGGGATCTTGCTCTATGCCCCAGGCTGGAGTGGGGACTGAGCCTCCTGGTGCTGGGGCAAGGATAAAGTGGTGGGATGGGGAGGCAGGGAGAGAGACTGTGGAGGGGATGTGGGGGAAAGAGGCTGCAGTGGGGAGATGGAGGGGTGCAGAGGCAGCAGGGGACAGGCAGCAGCTGCTTACCCCTCCCACTGCCTCATACTTGATTCCAAGATGAAGGGCTCCCCGCAATTAAATGAGGGAAAAAAACCTTGTCTTGTAGTTGAGTAAATATGGTACTTCTCATTTCCCCTGGATGCAGAAACTCTTCTTTGCCCCCCATTCCTCTTCTGACAGCTTGAGTCATCAGTTTTTCTTCTGCTGCCCAAGTTTGCTGCTGCTGTTTGAAGCTGGTCAGCTAAGGATGGCTCGGGTGGGTATCCAGTGTACAAGAGCACACTGCTCACTCCCCTTTTACTACAACTCTACTTCAGCTTCCCCATGCATCTCTCCCTCTGCACCAGCTCCCTGGTACCAGCCTTCTCTTCTGGCCTGATTAAAGCTCACTTCATGTGACAGGGCCCCTTATATTGCAAAACACTGCTGTTATTTGGGATGGTTTTCTTTCCTTATCTGCTATATCCACCTTTCCTCTTCCTGCCACTTTCTCTACCCAGTCTCCAGATCCCTAATGAGGTGTCTTATTGCCCTGGCATGATAGTTAATTTGTTCTCTCAACTGCACATTCTCAGTTCATTTCCTCTCTCCCGTCAGCTGTTTCCCCATTGTCATAGCATTCAGTCTGCATTTCTCTTCTCTGGGGTCATGGCCCTTTCTCCTGTAAGAAGTCTGTTCTTTCCCTTATTTCTTAAACATCAAATAAATGCGACAGCATCTCTCCCATTTTGGGCCAGAAACTTCCCTGTTTCTTCCAATTCTTATCTTGGAATACGCTACAATCTCATTGTAATAAATCTTGATTGTTAATAAGCCACTGTTTTTTAATAATACCAATTCTTTTTTCTTTTCTTTTTTCCCACATCTTTATGGTGTAGCCAACTAACTAACCCTGCTGTAGCAAACACCCTCTTTTAATGATTTTTTTTCTCCTGGCCCTGTGGTGGTTCATTATAAGGAGGTTGTACTGTATGCTGGTCCTCCCTTCCTTCATTTCATATACCTTTCATTGTGGCCTTTGATCAAGAAAGCTAGCCCCAACAGCCCATATTCAGGTCCACTTTGATGCTGTGAGGTAGCATTTGGACAGCTCACATAGTTTTTTGAGCTACTTCCATGGATTTTAGGTGTGTAACTTGTAGAAAGGAGAAGGGGACACCCCACCTTTAGTCTCTTGTTACGGCACTTGCCCAGGAAGCAGGAGACCCCTTGCTCCAAGGGGGTTTGAACCTGCATCTCCCACTTCCCAGCTGAGTGCTCCAACCCCCTATGCATTGCCAAACACACTCTCCAGCCTCACTTGTGAAGCTGGCCCACTGGGCAACCAGAAGGACAATAAATGGAGGGAATGTGGCTCAGTGAGAAGGGCAGTACCCTAGAAAGGAGAAGGTGGTGGAGTCTGGTTTGTGCTCCTGGTCTTCCTTCGCCAATGGTGACTCAACTACACTTTTTATTTGATAGCCATTAGATGGACAGTAGTGGGATTGCTGTCTCTTGCCCCACTGGAGGCAGAGCCCTGTCCATCTAGGGTGGGATCCATTTCAGTGAGCTTTGTTCACACACCCCCTGGCCCCACATATCTTACCTTTTTGGCTGCTGTGACAGGGGGCAAGACAGGACCGGGTCTCATGTTGGCCCGCCTACCTGTGCCCTGTCTTACCTGCCATGACTTGATATTCTCTGATTTAACAAGCGGGAGGCTGCCCATTTACTGCCTCGATGCCAGGGGTGCTATCCATGGCTCTATGCCTTCCCTATGCTGTGGCCCATGCCTTGCAGATGGCATCTAGTTTGCTATTACAGCTCTGGCCTGAGGTAGGGCCAGACTCAGTCCACTGTTGGGCCTCTTGCACACTACCCTATTTGGGGTCCCCCTCATCCCTCCCGCCTCTCACTGGGGCCTCTTCCACTCTGCCCTTTCTGACCAGGCGTCTTGCACGCTGTCCCTCGCTGGGCAACACTCACTCTGCCCTGCTCCTTTGAGCGGCCATCAGGCTTGCCTACTCTCACCTTGGCTGGCTGGCATACAGCCTCTTGGGTCTTCCGCGACCCTCATCCAGGCAGTGACCAGCCAATTAACTGAACACTGAGCTGACTCTGCCCCCAGCCCCTCACTGGGCGACGTTCACAATATATTCACATGCTTATGGGGGTTGGCCCATGTGCTGCCCTTCTGGCTGTCCTTCAGCCCTATTCAACACAACCCCTGGTGCAGCCCTTCAGACTGGCCTTCAGTCCTACTCTACACCTTCCTTACGCACAGTCCTTCAGGTCGTAAAGATGCCCCTACTTTGTGTGGGCCACACCTGCTCTATTACCCCCACTCTGGGGCTACTCTCCTGCCCACCCTCTCTGGGCCAACTCCCACCCCCTCCCTGGCGCTTCCAGTGCCCAAAGGTATGCCTGGTCCCTGTGCCTGGCCCTAAATCAAGGTATGCCACCAGGATGTGGGGGCTGGGGTTTTAAGGAGCCCCTCCCTGCCTTTTACCGGGGAGGCAACTGGCCTGGCATTTCTGGGGAGCTTCCCCACCATGAGAAGCCCCACCAGGCCATCCTTTCCCAGCAGGGTGCAGTTTCAAGTCATACCCAGGACCAGGAGCCTCCCAGATGCCTGAACATGAACATTAAATTTCTACGAGTGGTGGCAGCTCAAAGCCTGATAATTATCTAGATCATACCATGGGCGTGAACTGTTGGCTTAAACTCTCCGCAGGGTTTTGAAATATTTTCCTTATCTTGTCAAGGGATTGGTATTCATTTTTATAAACTACTTGGGACCATTTCTGTTTTTGAGTGCAAGCGTTTAAGTTGGAAAGTAATTTAATTGCCTTGGAAAAAAAAGGTCTTTCCCATATTGCATGTTGGGCTGGCTTGCTTACTTGCTTCCATAGAAATAAATGTGTTACAAGGCATTTCAGCAAATAGGTGATGGTCTAATACTGCCCACACCCAGTCCCTATGTGGCAGGATTGGGCCCCATGCCACCCTGCATGCCGAGTCTAGCATCCAGAGTCACAGCCCATGGAACTCCCCACAAGATCTGTAGGGAGCTGTATGGACTGGATTACACAGCACTGAGGGCTGGATCTGGCCCTCAGGCTGAGCGCTGAGCACCCCATATCTAACAAGGATTGTTGGCACTGTAGCTTTGGGTGTGACCTTAACAACCAGTACATGCCCTTGAGCTCAGTGTGACTCTCTGTGGGTGCACGGATTCACTTGGGCAGATTTCTATGGAAGATGTGGCTGGTGTGGGTTGAATATCACATAAGATATCCAGCATAGATTTGCTGGTCTACAGAAGCTTACTGGAACTCGGTGCTCCTTTCCACCATGCTGCTGTGCCTGGCCTGCTATTAATATTTATGAGAAATGTGAACCTCTCTGATTCATAGAGTGGCTAAGTATCAGTCAATGAGTCTCTGATTTATTTTAGCTCTGCAGTCGTCCAGGCTTTAGCACAAGGAGTGAAGAAAGCAGACTCAGACCCTTCTGTGAAAGCTGTTGTGATTTGTGGGGCAAATGGGAAATTTTCTGCAGGTAAGGCATTTTTCTTCAGGTAGGTATGGATGGAGAGTTCCTGTTTATTCTTTGCCCCTTTGAAGACTCTGGAAGCTTTTCCCTTTAACTGATGGGATCAAGATTTGACCCACAGAGAAACAGTCTGTGGGTCATATGACTTTACTGGTAAATGATAGAAGCTGCAGTGCATACCTGCATGCGCCCACTGAGTCACTGCTTTGATGTCCCATGGAAGTCCTGTTACAGTCACTACAGGTATCCTGGTGACAAATTCTGCAGTTCTGGGTCTGGGGTATTTCAGTAATAGCAGCAGGGTCTGGGGTATTTCGATGCTTGTATTATTCTAGCCATTCACCATCTACAGGAACCTGATGTATCTTTAATGTGGTGTTTCTCAGAAATTGACCATATAGGATCCTTTTTCACCTCTTTACCCATGGTTCATGCTCCCAATGGGTGACGCTAAATATAAGACATATTTTCCTTTGTATTTGTAAACAGGGGCAAGGGACGGAGCCCATTGCAATGAGCCCATTGCTTGGGAATTACAGTAGTGTCATGACATTGATTTGTGATTACTGCACACACTTGTAGTTATTTAGCCTATACCCCAAAAGACAGAAAAGGCTAATAATAGGTTTTGTCACATAGGGTCCTGGACACTGTGCAGGGGTTTGATTAGTTTTACCTTTCTTCACCATCTTTGACCTGCTTGACAAGCCTGGGAATCAGGATTGCTGTCTTGCAAGTTCAGGTCTGACTTGGACTCCATGGTATTTCAGCTGGGTTGAGTTGCCTAGAAGGAAGGGGCGTGATAGGCAATCCTTTCCCTGCTGTGTTTTTTTGTTGTGTGTGTGGGGGTTTTTTTGTTTGTTTTTTTTACAGTCTAAGTTCCTCTGTGTTTCATCAGGTGCTGATATTCGAATGTTCTCCTCCCTCCAGCCAAGAGACAGACCTGCTTTGGCAGAAACAGTCTCTCTGATAGAGAGAAGTCAGAAGCCAGTGGTGGCTGCCATTGAAGGCGTGGCTTTGGGAGGAGGCTTGGAAGTAGCACTGGGCTGTCATTACAGGATTGCACATGCACAGGTAGGATGTGATGGTAACAACAGAGTTCAGCAATGGGCCACAGGTACACAAGGTCAGGTTCTGTACAGGGGTGCACGGAGTACAACAGGGTGATCTCGCACCTTGAGGTTTTCCCAGGAGCCACAGTAAGGCCAGAGGAGAGGCTCTCATCTTACTGCCTCGTCTGCATGCCTAGGACTTCACAGTATCTGTTCAGACACACCCATTCTTCACCTGATTTCCACCACTTCCCTGTATGGCTCACTTGCAGCTCACTCTAGGTCAGTGCTGAGAGCTGCCTGAGTGCTCATCCCATGATTTTCCTGCCCTGAGGCACAGCTGACATGGGCTCCCTGCTGCACTCTATTTCCGGGCGTTCAGGATCAAAGCTGATGCATGCTAAGCAGTGTTAGTGCTGTTGTAGTACTACACTGTTATTTTTAGATCTGCACGGTTGGAGACAGCCTGTTCCTGGAGGGGCATTCACTAGCTTCTGCTGAGTTACCAGGACGCAGCCCTGGAGCAATACTTCCATGTGAAAATGCTTGTCTGTTAATGTGCTGACTTTAAACCAATCATTAAACACTTCAGCCTTCCCTTAAGAATGGCATTAATGGGTTTTGGGCATTTTGTCATTTTATTGAGGTCACCGGGTCACCAATTAATTAACCCCTCCCTCTAGCCTTGCTGTATCTCAGCAGAACACTGTCTTTTCCATCACACTATTGGGATTAGTGGGGAAATAGCAAAGTTTCTAACCGATAATCCAGGCAGATTTTGGTACACTACTGGTGACGTGGACAATGACATCAATAGCTTAGGCAACCTTAACATTTCAGTTCAAAAGGACCTTTTCTAGATGCTGTTAGCTCTTGCGTATTTCTGTGTTGTAAGTCTGACATGTTCATGGTTGTCTTCAGCTAAGGAGCACACTTTTAATTTCTTTTTTTGCTTTGCTTTCTTTTTTTATTTTAGGCCAAAACATTTTTGAGTAAAAACTGTGAAAAAATACCCTTCTGCCATTATAAACACATGTTGCTTACAGAAACAGTGTTAAAAGGAAATTGTGATAATACATTCTAGCTTTCAAAGATTAGGAGTTGCCAGAATTAAGATTATCTGTACAACAAGAATCACCCCCCTCATACAGAGTCATGAATAATACTGTTTTGCCTGGCATTTCATTGTCTGTGCCATGGCCAGGAAAAGAGTTAAGCTCTCCTGGTTCCCCTCCAGAACATGGGGGGGAAAAACATTTGCCTACATCCTAAGATAGAGGATTGAGGGATAACTCAATGATAAGAGCTGTTGTTTGTATGGTATTTGCTAGTTCCCATTACAACCAGCAGATACTACTTCTGTGCCTGCTTCCTCTCTGGGGTTTTAGTCCTGTGCCTATCCTAGGAGCCCACTCAGTCTAGCTGGCCTGTAGAAAGCTCTGTGGAGCTCAACTGTCCTCAGTATAGATGAAACACTGAAGCGTTTTAAGGGCAAGTCTCTAAAAAGCTGTATGGAACATGTGCAAATTTTGTGTTTTTTCTAGAGACTTATTAGTCAGCCTTAGAAAGAGATTTTAATAGGAAAAGCCACTGCCTTCATCTGGCTACTCTTCCATTCCTATATTTCAGTATAGGGAGGTGTTACAGCTTGTTCAAAGAGAAAGTTATTGCAAAATTTAAGATGGCAGAACCACTGATCTTTCTCTAACCTAAGTTTTAGGAAATGGCTGGACCCTTTTCTCAGAAACAAAAAAAGGAAAATTAGCCTGGGGCACAGACTTGACACAGGCTGAATCAGGCCAGGAAGTTAAAATCTTGTGAATTTATAATCAGTTAAATTGAGGGGATTATTAAAGCCACCTTAACCCAGAGGCCTGGCTGCCAGCTTTACCCATAATATATTTGTAACAGAACAGCCCTAGGGCCACAACAAAGCAGTAAGAACTGAAAATTTGGTAGGGAAATAAACCCTGGGTCACAAATCTGTCTCCAAGACTCAGTGAAAACTTCATTGGCTTGCTTGAGTTATGTTGGTGTAAAGGCATTGCCCAGTTAAGAGGCTGTGACTTGGATGACTGCACAGTCCGGTGGGTGGCGAATTGGCTGGAGGGTCGCACCCAGAGAGTCGTGGTGGATGGGTCGGTTTTGACCTGGAAGGGTGTGGGAAGTGGGGTCCCACAGGGTTCGGTCCTTGGACTGATACTCTTTAATGTCTTCATCAGCGACTTGGACGAGGGAGTGAAATGTACTCTGTCCAAGTTTGCAGATGACACAGAGCTATGGGGAGATGTGGACACGCCGGAGGGCAGGGAACAGCTGCAAGCAGATCTGGACAGGTTGGACAAGTGGGCAGAAAACAACAGAATGCAGTTCAACAAGGAGAAATGCAAAGTGCTGCACCTAGGGAGGAAAAATGTCCACAATGTGATGAAGCCATCAAAAAAGCCAATGGCACTTTATCGTGCATCAGCAGATGCATGACGAATAGGTCCAAGGAGGTGATACTTCCTCTCTATCGGGCGCTGGTCAGACCGCAGTTGGAGTACTGTGTGCAATTCTGGGCACCGCACTTCAAGAGGGATGCGGATAACCTGGAGAGGGTTCAGAGAAGGGCCACTCGTATGGTTAAGGGCCTACAGACCAAGCCCTACGAGGAGAGACTAGAGAAACTGGATCTATTCAGCCTCCGCAAGAGAAGGTTGAGAGGCGACCTTGTGGCTGCCTAGAAGTTCATCACGGGGGCACAGAAGGGAATTGGTGAGTATTTATTCACCAAGGCGCCCCTGGGGGTTACAAGAAATAATGGCCACAAGCTAGCAGAGAGCAGATTTAGATTGGACATTAGGAAGAACTTCTTCACAGTTCGAATGGCCAGGGTCTGGAACGGGCTCCCAAGGGAGGTGGTGCTCTTCCCTACCCTGGGGGTCTTCAAGAGGAGGTTAGATGAGTATCTAGCTGGGGTCATCTAGACCCAGCACTTTCCTGCTTATGCAGGGGGTCGGACTCGATGATCTATTGAGGTCCCTTCCGACCCTAACATCTATGAATCTATACATAGTCACCAGTAGTTGGACGCAGTTGGCCATGCAGTGTTTCTCTGGCACTGTGCAGGCTTGCATATATCAGCTGAATGAAAATTTACCCTCCTGATAGTCCACTGGTCTTTTTTACAAACCCCCTAAGAACCTCAGTTTCTCCCCACTGTTCTGCTACTTGTCTGAAGGAGCAGTCTAGGGTTAGCCCCTAGAACAACTCCTCATTCGTGCAAGACTTAGTTTTACCTGCCCTTGCACAAGACTTCACAGCTGCAACAGGGGAAACCTCTAACTTCCAGGGATCTCACTCTTGGTTTGTAAAAAAAAATTATTATAGGTTCCCCTGCTTCTTCCAAAGAAGATGCCAGCCTGATGTATCAGTTGCTCTGAAATCGCACTTGACCGCAGGTGCCCTGGCAGCTGGGGACCAGGATTCGCAGCAAGGCATGGGAGATTTCAAAGACCATTCCTTCCTGGCAGGCGCGTCCTAAATACCTAGCAAGATAATTGTCCTCTCTGGAATGTATTTGTGGTCATGTGAGGCTAATACGTGTGTACCCATCCCAGCATCTGGCTGTTTCCATGCTGGTGCCTGGAAATCTGGGTTTCTCTGTGGCTCTTCCCTTTGGAATGCAGTTGGCTATTGATACCTGAAAGCAGGGATTGGCAATATCTAGCCCATGGGTTGGGTCCAGCCTGCAGAGCTGGAGGGCTTTGGCTTGACCTCCACCACTTGCTGGCCCCAGCCTGCTCCCTGGCTGTGCTTCCAGCTGGTGGCCAGCTGTACCAGGCTGGAGAGCTGCAAACTGCATCTGTGCTGCTTCTTTCCGCTCCTACCTACCCCCTACACCTCTCAGCTGCATTGCGGGCACAGCTGGAAGCTGTTGGCCCCAACAGCTTCTGGGGCCCAGCACTGCAGCCAAGGGAAGGAAGGGTGGGGAGAAGCAGCAGTGGTGCAGTTGTTGCAGCCTGCAGCTTCTTAAAGGTGGCCAAACACTGCCTAAGGGCATTGGCACAGACTACCTTAAAGCCAGCATAAAGGCACTTAAAACAAGAGCAGTCATTAGTTAAGAGATGTTAAACTGCCATAAGTACCCTCCAAATGTTTCAATGTTAGGCCATTCTAGCTGAGGTTTCTCTTTGATTTGTTTTGCCCGAGTCATTCCAGGGTGTTGTATGAATGCACTCCCTTTCATTCCTCCAGCATCCCTTTGCACTCCTCTGCTCCATGGGCAAACTTGCAACCCTCCTAAACTCTACTGCTCAGCAGGTGATGCTGGCTGCAAGCCAACACCCCCTCCCACCTCCTGCGGTGTGATCCTGATGGCTGTGATCACCCAGGTTCAGCATTTTCGGTTTGTGGCTGAGCTCTGAGCACCAGCTGTAGCCCATTGCTTTGCCTCTTGCTCTAAGATTTGCTATCTTCTCACTCCCACCATTAGGTATGTATGCATGTGCCATAGCTCTCTGACATGCAAATAGCTGTTAGCTAGAGAGAAACACTTTTGTCATCTATTCAGGCTATAACCTCATTGGCAAGTTTTTAATGAGCTCCATCACCGAACTGCAAACCTGCAGGCCTACAGAATAACATGATCAGCAGTAACATGAGCAAAATGAACACAGGAAGGACTTGCATCTGGGAGCAGCTTAATCAAACTCTGGACAAATGCCTAAGCATGATAGCCTCCAAATCCCCAAATCCTTCCTACTTTTGGGGCAGACTTGCAACAGCCTTGCTTTAAATGCTCATGTGCATGTAGAATATGCTGTGAGAGGTTGCGTGTAGGCCTGTTACAGATTTGCTGCTTTAAAACTTTCTGCATCTCCTACAGCAGCCTGGAGTAGAATGGCATGTGAGTGTATGTCTGTTTTGCTTGCACCTTCTGGATGCAGTTTATAATCACTGCTCTCTAATCACAGCCTTTGCCTTTTTTTTTGTTGTAGGCCCGGGTAGGTTTTCCAGAGGTTCTCCTTGGGATACTTCCTGCTGCTGAAGGAACACAGCGACTCCCCCGACTGATTGGGGTACCAGCTGCACTTGACCTAATCACCACAGGTAAAGTCCTAGAACCTATCTTTTGTGAGTCTATGTCAAGGAGACCATGATAGCCAGTTCCACCTAATGAAAGTCAAACTCTAGTCAGGACAAGGCAAATTGTACTTCCACACAGGCTAAGCCACTTGAATCAAAAAACTTGCCTAGCCTGTCTAGATGTTTAGAAGGCATTGGACTGAGCTTGCTACAGTTAGGGGTTATTAAGAAGGGAATTGTAAACACAACTGAAAGTATCATGATGCCCCTTGATAAATCCATGCTGCATCCACATCTTGAATATTGTGCCCAGTTCCAGTCCCCACACTTCAAAAAGGATATAGAAGAACTAGAGAAGGTCCGAGGATGACTGGGAGTATGAAGGGGCTTCCAGATGAGGACAGACTAAAGAAGCCAGGGTTGCTCAGTTTAGAAAAGAGGTGCTTGAAGGAGAGCATGATAGGAGTTTACAAATAGTAAATGGCAAAGAGAAAGTAAATAGGGATTTATTAATTACTATCTCTCACAATGCAAGAATTAGGGGGTCACAAAGTGAAACTAGTAGGTAGTAAGTTGAAAACTAACAAAAGGAAGGTCTTTTTTATCCAGCGTGTCATTAAAGTGTGGAACTCATTGCCACCAGATGTGATGGAAGCTGATAGTTTAGCCAGATCCAAAAAGGGGTTGGTCACATTCTTGGAGGAAATGGGCATCTGTAGCTATTGAGCATTGGAGTGAGGACCACAGCCTCTGAATCAGAACTTCCTCAATTTTAAATATTGGAGGCTGCAAGTGGGAGAGCCACAGGGGAAAAAACTCTGGTCAGACCCAATTCACTCTCCCTTTCAGCATCCTCTGTCTGCCCCTGTGTGGACACAGGATACTGGATAAGAGGGATCTATTGTCTGACCCAGTAAAGGGCAGTTTTTAGTACTGTAGCCTTAATTACAGTCTTACCTCTTTAGCTAGACAAAGACAAAATGTGTGAATAGATGATATGTTGCATATTTGACTCTACCTCTGCGCACACTGTATGGCCTATCTACATGAAACACTGTTGTGTGTATGTGGGTGCAGACATGCTGGCAGATAGCGACGTATCACTGTCAGGATAGAAGTAGCTGGAGCGTAATGGGCTCACTGAGAGAGGGAAGAAATAGCTTTGTATTCTCATGCTTTTTTATCAGAGGGAATTACTTTTCTGACTATGAACCAAACTACTGAAATATTTGGGGCATAGTGGGGCTGTTTAAACAAAAAGTCCCTGCTGTACCCTGCTAAGCTGAGTGGAAACAACTGGGGAAAAATAAGTTGTATAACTATGCTCTAAATTAAGTGTAACCTGAGAAAATTGGTGCTGGGTTTTCAGTAGTCTTTACAGCTAGATTCTCTGCATTTTTCTCATTCTGTGTCACCTACACTATAGCTGCTTTAGCCACTCTAGGACAAAGCCAATGAATGGGTTAGCTGGGAACACATGACCCTGTCCAATATAACTATTGTGTCCCTGCCAGGAACATACTTCAGGCCTGACCAAATCGGAAGCTGCATCAGGTGGAACAGAGCAATATCTTTTAGAGCAGGACACTGAGCCCCTTTATTTCTCTGTTACAGGAAGACATGTACTGGCAGCCGAAGCACTGAAGTTGGGCATAATTGATGAAATCATAAAGGAAAACACAGTTGAGAGAGCCATCGAGTTGGCAAGTAAAGTCTCTGGTAAGGAGAGAAAGGCAGCATTGGTAACGATATTATTGGCCAGGGACAGCTCATTCTACCGAGTTACAGGTCCAGGAAGAGACTGCCTGGCATGAAACAGAACAAAGCCCTCTGTGAAAACAACGTGACCCTTTTCCAAATACCATCTCTATTCCCTTCCTCTTTGCTGAATTTTGAATTCCCTTGTTTTTTGGGAAGTATCTTTGAAGAACTTGGAAACACTGATGAGCTTCAGTGCATCCAAATTCAGATGAGGGTTTGGAGAGCTGCAACTAAAAGCAACAAGGATTCTGTACGCACTGTGCTTGGTAAGTATGTCATCTTCCATGTCCAGTGCTGCTTCCACTCAAGGCTGAGATTTGTTCGCTAAGAGGATAGAGTGCACTTCCTGTCTAAAGTGTTGTAAGACCCGGCTTGCTGGTGTTATATGCTGCTCAGCTACACAATCAATACTGGCTGCTGTAAAATAATTTCCTTCCTCTAATGGAGGGACTGGCAGATCCCCAGCCAAATGTAATGGCCCCATGAATCTGTCCATTACTGCCCATTTATCTGCTCCTTTCGCCATCAGCTGTTGTTCCATTGCCATTCTGATGGGAAGCTGGATTGCAGAGAGGGGAGGTGTGTGAAGAGATCGTTTATGAGCTCAAAGTCACTGAAGGTGGTTCAGGGATGTGTATGCACAAGAGGATTCACCTTGCAGGAGGACAGGGAGAATTTATACCACTTTCCCACTTGGTGCCTCCTCTGGGATGGTACGTTTATCTCCTGTTAGGAACCCTGTTGGAGCTCTGCACATGAAAGTCATGTGCTGGCAACCGTTGCCTCCTGCCTTTCATAAGCAGCAGGTACTTTTCTACGTACACCTGTTCACAGTGCAAAGAAGATTGCAGCTGCTTTTCCTGCTGCACTCCCTTTGCTAGGGGAATTTCCACTGGGCAGGGGGGGCTCATGCCAAGAGATCTATCAATGGGACCATCTTCCAGAGGGTGACTAGACAATCACATGCACCATATTTTTAATGCTATTTAATTTGTTGGTTCTTCCTCAAGATCAGTGTCTTGCAGCAATTTTCACGTTGGATTGGATTTTGGCCAAGAGTTTTCTGGCAGGGGTGATCTCCTGCAATAGATGCTCTCCCCTCTTTCTGTACTTCTGCCTTTTTCTAAGTTCGTTTTTGGTGTTCATAGTTCACAGAGAGGAATGAGTTGCATGGGGGGTCCTTCTTTTACTCTCTTTTTTTTTTCAAACAACTAAGAACGGTCTAAATATAACACTCTACTGATATATGGGTTAATGCATTTCGCTGTTTCTAAAAAAAAAAACACTCCAAAAAACAAAGAAACTTCTGTTCGTTTATTCCATCTGCCTGTTTTGGATGCTAATTCCATATTTATCCCTCCTCCATCTATTGGGGGAGAAGAGACGTGTTACTGCTTTTCTTAGCAAACTCTTTCCAGCAAGCTTCAGGATCTCCCTAAAGTGTCCTCCAGACCCATGAACACCCTGGGTAGGGTCTGTACCAGTATTTACAAATGACAACAGGGATAATGTAACCATAAAATGCACTCTGGTCACTTTGCTGGAGTTGTCAAGCACTCTGATTTTCTGCCTATGCCATTTGAAATCATGTGAAGCTCCCAGGCATTTCTATGCTGATTTTCTCTTCTGTGCGAAGGTAGTCGCATCTTCTGCAGTAGGTCAGAGTGATGAAGGCCAGGCTGACTAAAAATGGTGTTTGGAGAGGCTGGGTAGCTGATGCAGATGTCATCAAATCTATGGACAAAGATCAAAAATTTTGCAAATCCAATTAAAATTAGCACAGGGACTGATGAGATGCTTCCAACCAGAAGAAAAGTTCACTTGAAGCTGGAAATAACTGAAAATAGCAGCAATGACTGTGCTGTTGAAAACAATTCTGCAATGAATGAACATGAGCAGGGTTGTTGGTTGTAGTCGCATTGGTCTAAGGCCATAGGCAGACGAGTTTCTTTGGGTAGATGTGATATCTTTTGCTAAACCAACTAAATAGCTGGCTGCAAGGTACCTGATTATGCTGAAAGAATAGGATGGACACGGGCCATGCATCCATCTGGAGAGCTTAGGGCTGTGATACTTACCTTCAGTTTAGCACTCTCTTCTGTCATAGTGCTACTAACTCCATAAGAAGAAATGCGACCGTCAGGAAACTGGATTGCTCTTTATTTATATGCAACCTCCAGGCCCTTGGCACACATATATATATATATTGCACAATTAACTGGTAAACTACAAAATAAATTTAGTTTGGCCACATGTGCAAAGTAATTATCATGCCATAAAATATGGCTATCCAGCTATAAAAAGAGCCAAATAGCTACAAAGTTAGTGCTTGAAAATGTGTAACAACTTTATAGTTGGTTTCTATCCAGCTTGTCATTTGAATGTGTGGCAGGGCCCCCAGTTTCAGCACATTCTTCCCAACTGACTCGTGCATCTTCAGGGAGCTAGTGACACAGTTGGATGGGAAACACCAAGGCTAGAATCTGCTGTCTTTACATAGCACTTCATTTCAGCAGTGTTTTGTGAAGCACTTATTTTTCATGTAAGGCAGACAGTTTCTTACAGTGCTGCATGACAGCCGTCTGCTGTTGTCCCTTCTAGAATTTCCATTTTCAGTCAGATTTTGGCCAAGGATGGACAAAGGTAGAATATCAGTTACAAAGAATCAAGCTGAAAACTGTTTTCCTCCCAAGCTTTGTTCTGTGCTAGTGCTGTTAATGGCTAAAAATCAGTCTTTTTGATTTCATACTGACATACCATGCAAGCTTTCCTTCACTGTTAGTTTACACAGTCCTTCATCAAACATTCTTACAGAATGCTCCTAGCAAAACACATTTACTCGAATACAGCTCAGGGTACGTAAAGATAAATGTACATGTAACCATACAGTGCCTGCAGGAACAGTACCTTAAATTACATATTCAGGAATAAAGCAAGAATGTTATGATGCAGATCAGGTAAGTTAACATAAGTTCTTCAAACCGTCTCCAGTGTGAACCTCAGACAAATTGCCCTTTGCAGCCAAAATAAACATCTTTATTTTTCAAAGTGTCCTTATAAAGGAGGGAAGAGAACAGCATTGAAAAATACAGGCAGGGGTTAATTCTTTGGAAACCTGCACTTACCAGTGGAATGTTCTTTCATTAGCTGCTCTTTATAAAATATCATTGCAGTACTAAGTCAAAGCTGCACAGTGCAGTTTTGTCCACCTGATGGCACCACAAAATTGGAAAATTGCCATCAGCACTTGTAGCAAACAGTACCAGTGGGCAGACCTGGGCTTTGATTGCTCTTCATGACTGATGTTCTGCGTGCTTCTCTGACCTGTATGAGACGATGGTTGCTGATCATTTGGTCAGCACATTTCTCTCTCTGTTCTTTTTTCATTGCCGTCTTTGTGGTAACAGTCTATCCTTGATCTGGTGTTCTCTTGCTCTCTTTGACCACATCTGTCACTCACATGTGGTCTTGCCTGCAGTGTAGGAAAGCATACACTTCAGAGGCTGGCCATATTCAGAGCTAAGCAGAACCTGAGACAGATTTGGGTCTTGGCAGCTTCAGCCGGCGTTAGGCTGTAGGTGAGAGAAATGACTAGGAATGCCTGAGTCACCGTTTGCCAATGGTGTTAATTTTGCAAAGACACATGCGTCTGTTCTGAGCATCAGAGAGCCTGTGGGAATCTCACATACAAACATTGATAACTGTAGGCAGGTGTTTAGTGCTTAACAGTAACAACCATAGGTAGGCACTAAGCAACAGTTACAAGCATTCTGTAACCTCCCCAGCATCTTTGGGTAGGCTTCCAATATCTCAGCATCCTTTTAATCTCCCTTTGTGGCTCACCATTGGGACTGCCTTTCTCTCTAGGCAAAGAGGGATGTACCAAGTGCCCTCAGCCAGCCTGCCTTCTGGACTGCTCAGAGGTGAACAGGAGGAAGCAGAGCACTTACCTTGCTGATGGACAGCATACATTGACTTCTTTGTGTTTCTGTTCCTGGCCAGCTTGAAAAGGAGGGGCTTGATTTTTAGGAGCTGATTATGAACCCCTGTATAGCAGTTCCATTTTTGGGCATCAGACCATAGGGCTAGTCCTGCTTCTTGTTCAAGATTTTTCCTGTTTGTGAGAGGCTATAGTTGTTTTGTCTTCTCCCTCAATACCCCTAATTACCAGGGTAGTCACTGTCCAAGGCCCTTGTTAAATGTTTCCCTGCAGGTACAATATTGTCTCTTTCCACAGGTCCTTCCCAAACCAACAGCACAGTTGCACACAATTTCTTAGTATGTCTTATCCTCATTGCAGTTCTATTGAGTCATGAGATTCACATGTAAGGCCAACTCCCAAATTCCTGTTTTGTGATATAGATGAAAACTCACAAGGTATAGCTAGAGCTAAAGGATTGCAGAGAGATTCCTTTTTATAGTGAAAATATTTGGGAAAGGAGAAGGTTTAAAAATGAGACCATGAACCTTAGGCTCAGTGAAATCCTCTTGTGCTAGCAGATTTAACCAAAATGTCTAGTCTCTGTAAGAAATCTTTCTTCAGATAAAATCAGATCTGAAGTGTGGCAATTTGCACCATAGGTGTTTTACCTTCTCTTTTTGTGTTTAAAAGTTTTCAGTTGAAACATTTAGACTTAAAGACTTCTGGTTCCTGGATGTTAGTGACTTATCCCATACCTGGGAAATCATCCCACTACATTCATCCCATTTCTCTCAGAGGCTCTGCTGTCTCTGGGGAAGGAGCTCATCTGAGGAACGGGCTACTTGGGGAGCTACTGTTATGGATCCACCGTTGTCCTGCTACTTGGGGAGCTGCTTTTATGGATCCACACTGCACTGCTCCTTTCCCTTCTTCTGAGCCTTCAGGGTGTTGAGCCAACTCTCTCATATCTAACAGTGCCAGGAGAACAGAAAGGCTGAGTGGGTACTTGCCACCACTGAAGCAGATGTGCATCCATAGCTGGGGTGATGTTGTGGGAGACAAGGCAACAGCGTGGAAGACCACAGAGAGCCTCTGTCAATGCCAGAGCACTGAGCAAGGAATCACTACCGGGATAGGCCCATAAGCTCTTCAGCTGATGTGCTGAGAGCAGCCTAGCGAGGAGCTCACCATGAATTGCTCTGTTGTGTTCCACGCAATGAGCACTGGGAGACTTAATTAGCCGATGGTTTGCATGGTGCTGTGCTGATGTCACTCTCCCTGTGAAAGCTTTGTAGCATTAACAGGATGCTTGTTCTGTTTGTGCCTCTGTCCTTACGCAAGCAAACTGCCATTGAGGACACTGGGATTCCCCAGATGGTGGTTTAAGCAGTAGTATAACTAGGGCAGGGTGAGCAGGACACTAGCACCAGGCACCTGTTTGGAGGGGGTGCCTTTCACTCTCTGGTGCTCAGCTCCTCCTCTCCTCTTGCTCTCTGGTGCACAACAGCATCTCTGCCTGAAGCACTGAGATGACTAGTTATGCCTCTGGGTGAAATAAAGGCCTCAAGACTGGCCCCTGGATTATGTTTTTGAAAGGGATGAAGGGAATGTTGGTGTCTAAAATGCAACAGACTTTGCTTCATTCAAATCCCTTTTAGCCATCACCATGGCAACCACTATATCTTGTCATGAGTTCCATGAATTGGGGTGGCTCCTTGATTTGCCAGTTGCTGGCAGAGAACAACAGACTCCTCTCAGCTGTTCTTTTATGACCCTGGCACAAGCTCTTATGGGGGTGCAATGGGTTCTGATCCCCGATTTCCTGCCCCCAGTCACAGCTCCTACCCTGTCTCGTGTGCATGGCAGGAGAGGCTACTTTAGGATTAGAGATTGGATCCCAGTCGTTCCCTTTCAATTTGCTGGGATCATGATCAAAGGCTTCCCCTTGCACTGACTACAGCCCCACCCATGGGGCTGACAATCAGCTGATTGTTGGCCCCAGGCAGGTTCAAGTATTTCCCCCACCAGAGAGTTTAAACCCCTTCCAACCCAAACTCCTCCATGATGAGCAGCTCCAGAAAGGCTGTTGAGCATGGGGGATGAGAGGCTCCCAGTGTGGGGAGCCAAAGGGCTTTCCCCACCAAGGGCTTTAAAGATTGTCAGCACCACCAGCTGGAGACCTGGGTCTGTTCAGGGCTGATTCTGACCATCAGGTGATTGTCGGCCCTCCACCCTGGACAGCCCCAGTGCGTGGGTATGCCACACATTCAAGATAAGGTGCTGTACAAACCAGCCATAAAACCAGCTGTACAAACCAGCCATAAAACCAGCCATAAAACAAACCAGCCATGTTCTCCATTGTATGTGGAACATTTTTATGTCTGGTTTGCCATTTTATGGCATTTTAAATTGAGTGCATGTGTAACATCCTTGTCATTTATGGCACAATTAACACAACTGTGGCATAATTGTAACATGCACCAGGAGCATTACTCCCCTACTTTGCTTCCCCATGCACTGACAAGCAATCCTGTTGGACCCAAAGGAGCATTGAGAAATTAATGCTGCTAGATCAAAATCAATACAGAAACAAGCTACACTTCCAAATCTTCCACATACACACCTGAGGACCCAGGACCCTGACTGGGCAACAAAGTGCAATGTACCCTGATTACTAAAGCAATATTAGGAATGGATGTTGGAGTTGTGTAGAGTGGATTGATGGAAAGGATGTGTTAAATGGCTGGTGGCTTAGATTGCAGAATAAGTGACCAGTAGGCAACAAGAGCCTGTCTGCAGCTGAGAGAGGTGTTGCCTTAGGACATTGCTTTGCTGAGCATTTGAGCACTGGTCACAAATAGCTCTCCTGTGCCACGTGGAGTCCTCATCCACCAGACTAGATGTCAGGAGAACAGGGGACCACACTGCCTTTCCATAGCAGAAGGGGCAAACACCTGTCGTGAGGCAGGGACCTAGCAGATTTTTACCAGGTCTGTATCTGTTTCTCAATATGCAGGCCAGCCACTAGGACCACGCAAAATCAGCCTGAAACCCGTTCCAGATCTGCCGCATATGGAAGCCATTCTCAGTGAGGCCCTTGTGAAGGTGAAAAGAAAAGCTCGCGGGCGTCTTTCTCCAGAGATGTGCATCCAGGCAATCAAGGCTGCTGTGCAACTGCCTTTTGCAGAGGGGGTTCAGAAAGAGAGAGAGCTGTTTAAGTTCCTGTTGGGATCAGGCCAAGCCAAAGCACAGCAGTATGCTTTCTTTGCAGAGAGAGCAGTTCAGAAATGGACAATGCCATCTGGAACTTCCTGGAAAACTGCTTCAGCTCAACCCATCCGGAAAGCAGCTGTGATAGGTAAGGAGATGTGAGAGCCACCCTGCTTGCCCGCTCCCTGTGCCCAAGGCAACTTCCAGTATTAAAGAGAACAGAAAAATTGTAGCTGCCTGAGGTGAAAAGGAAGTGATATAATAACTGCAGGGGCCTTGGGTCCATCACAGCTCCCTAAAACCAGCAGAGTTTGAACAATTTCCTTTGAGCCGCTTTGGAGTCACTTGACTGCCTGACTTCCCCCTTACTTTATTTGTGACTCTTTTCAGAGGATTCCTTCCACTAAGATTTTAGCCTTGATGGAAAAAGGCCAGACTTGAAGTCCTCACAGGCATCAATGTCTCTTAAAATCTTAGGATCAAAGGAAAGTACAGCTGGAAGGGACCTCATGAGGTCATCTGGTTCAGCCCCCTGCTCAAGGCAGGATTATCCTTGACTAAACCATCCCAACCAAGGGTCTGTTGAACCTGCTCTTGAAAATTTCCAGGGATGGAAATTCCATGACTTTTTTAGGTAGCCTGTTCCAATGCTTGTTCCAACTCCTAGTTAAAAAGTTTTTCCTAATCTCCAACCTAAATTTCCTCTTCATGGATCCACTATGCATACCTGTGCTCCTGTAGGTAAAGTTCTTCTGGCACCCAAGACAAAGCACCCCACATCTATATTTTATGAAGAAAAGGTTATCCACATAGTTGATACTAGCTGCTGTTACCTCTCTTGGCAAATAAATGAGGCTAGAACTCATTGCATACTGCTGGGTTATTTTTGTCATGGTCCTACTCTGAGAGAGTGTATAAACTCCTATCAGTTCAATTATGGCTTCACCTCTGTTTTATAAGTGGGTTATTTCTTTCTAAAATAGCATTGTACTGAGTTAATTCCATATTTTGAATAGATTTGTATAAAATTCTCCTCCCTCTAGTCTAGTTTTTATGTCAGTGCATGCATGTAAACAGTCACTCAGGGATATAGTAATACAAAACATGTTTTGACAGCTGCATTTTAAGATTTAATTTCATTGCAATTCATACTTGCCACTTTGCACCCCTGGAAGCTAGTGTCTTCTTTCAGTTGTTATAAGAGCAATTAAAATAAAACCTTTTGGATGCACTGCTTGGATTTCTAAAAAATATCTACCTATATTGCCCCTTGATATGCTGCACTCCACACGCTGGTTAGATGTGTAATAAGCTACTTGGTCACCACTGCTTTTATGCTGTCTGCTTATGGTATACAGTAGCTTCTTTCTCTACCATGAAAACTGGCCCCTGGGCTTAAGTAATTATTTTTTAACTTGACTCTACCAACAAGCTTGTGCTTCAATTGGCACAAGGCCCTCCAAGGGTATTATGTCATTTATGGAAAACAGCAGAATATACAATTTATCATGTGAGTGACGGCTGAGCAAGGATTGGTTGCCTATAAATATTACTTATCACACACAATTTGGCAGAAAGGTTTAATTTTATGATTTTGCAGGAAGGAATGAGTGACAGGAAGCACTGCCTAGACCTAGAGTTCCCTGCTGGTTGAGAGAGAAATCCCACAAAGATAAATGAGACCCAGTCTCCTATGGAAATGCCTAGATCTGATAGGCAGAGGGGGCTATTTTGATCATATAATGGGGCTACTCCAAGTTCAGTTGCTGTGTTTAAACTAGACCATATCTTTCCAAAAGAAAAAAAGTCCAATCTCAGTATAAAAGCTTTCATTGATGGAGGAGCTGCCACAAGTCTTGGTAAGTTGGCCCTGTGGTTAGTTACCATCACTACTAAACTTTTGCATCTGATTTCTCATCTGAATTGGTCAACCTTGACCTTCCAGCCCCCAGATTTTGTTAGGCCTACGTCTGCTAGGCTAAAGAGGCCTCTATTAACAAACTTATATTCTTCGCCTCTTTAGACTGTGCTAAAATCACCCCTACACCATTTCTGTGATAAGCTACACAGGTTAAATGGTTGAGTCGCACTCCAGGGCAAGTTCTCCAATCCTTTCATCTTTCTCATGGCTCTTCTCTTTACCTGCTCCAATTTTTCAACATATTTCTTAGACAGCTTTCCAGTGGCAGTTGCACCAGTGCCTGAGACAGGTAAACCTAACCTCCTCACTCCTACTCTGTGTCGCCCTGTTTAAACAATGAAGGATCATATTAGTCTTCTTGGTGACAGTATCATGTTTAGCTGCTTACCCACCATGACTTCCAGGTCCTATTCATTCATTGCTTCCCAAGAGAGTATCTCAGCATGAGATCTACATTCTGTGTTCCTAGAAAAATGAGCTTACATTTCACTCATTTAGGTGACCTCTCCATTTTGGAGGTTCTTGAGCAACATCTTCCACCTCTTTTGGTCCCAAACCATGGTCACGGCTTGTTTTTCTCTGCATTCTTGTCCATTGTGTCATCTTGTTCTTCTCCTTCCTCTGGGTGGTTTTCCATCTATCTGATCTCTGTAGGATCCATGGCAGCATGGAGCCTCTCTGACACTGTGGTATGATGTGTCTGTACAACTGCATTTTTGCCTGGATTTTGATATAGTCAAACTGTTCCCAAGCCACCATCATAGAATCATAAAAAATTATGGATGGAACAAGGCTTTCATCCTTTTTAATGTCTCACTGTCTTGCATTCTCACAGTGTTGCTGTTTTTCAATACACAGGTTTTCCTTGCTTTATGCGGGGTTTGTACGTGGAAATTCGCTCTTAGGCGATGACCTTTTTTATACTAAAAATTTGTTATATACGAAGTAAATTCACTCTTATGAGATCAGTGTGGTGGAAGCCCACAGTCAGCTGCTTTGTGCAGTGCATTGTGGGTGTGGCACTCACCAAAATACAGTCTCCTGTGTGAATCTGTGCTCCTTGCTTGTTGTCTGCGACACGTATTTCTGTAGTTGCCATCCCCATTATGATAGTGCTCTGTGTTTGTGTGCACTGTCTGGTATTGGTGAGTACCAAAATTGTCTTGTAAAAGTGGTAGAAATGGGTCTGGGGGTCAGTACAGGGTCCCTATTTGTTACATTTTAAAGTAGGTTCTCTTTATGCGAATTCAAGTTATGCACCATTTTCCAGGAATGCATGTCCAGCATAAAGCGAGGGAAACCTATACTGGTATTCCTCTAAAAGCAGAATATAGGAGCCTTGAAAAGTCTTTCAGTGTCCATCTTGAGAGTCCAGCACTCACTGTGAATGAGTATTGACCATACATACATAGCACTTCAGTTGTATTAAAAAGTCTTAATCTTAACTTTAATGGCAGCATAGCACTTTGTGAAATTAGATGTAGATTTTGCCTGCTGAATTCAGGCTTTGATCCAAGTATCACGTAGACCAGGACTACCCGGTTGGTGGCACCCAGGCTGCATCCAGCCCATGAGGGGATAACATGTGGCCCCTCGGCTCTCACCTGGCCACCACATTCCACCATCACTCCTGTTGTGGGAACCAAGGTCTCTGGCCTCCCTTTCCCCCCTCCAGCTTTCACTTCCTGCCCTTGTTTCTGTCAGCTTACTCTACTGACAACCATCAACATTTATTGGATGTATTGGATCATTTATCTTGTTTGCCTGGTGTACATTTATTTTGGGCATTATTTATTTTTATTCAGGATTATGTGCTGGGCTCTTTGACCACATTGACAGGGTGTGGCAGCTCTATTTTAGAGGATGCTCTGCACACCAAGTTGTCAGCATATCTGATGTTATTTGTATTTGTCGTGTTCACCTGCATGCCTGGTTATCTTTCAAGCTGTCCTTGATGGTGCTTCAAGAGTAGATGTTTAACAGCCTTGATGAAAGAACATGTCCCTGTCAGACATTTTTATTGAAGCTGCATGTTTCTGAGTTCTTGCTTCCAGTACAAATGGATGCTTTTTGGTCTCAGTGAAGATTCTGTATCAACTGCAGATCTTGTTTGTCTTTACTGCATTCATTTAAGCATTGTATCACCTGTTCATGCTGGACTTTGTCGGAAACATTTTCACAGTCCATAAAGCACAGATAGACCCTCTGCATTACCAGAAGTCTTTCACATAGTATTCGTAAGATACATATTGTTTCTCCAGTACTTGAATTTAGTGTAGATTCAAATGGACTCCTGCTAATCTGTGAATCAAAGAACTCTTGAACTTAGCTTTGAATTTGACTTATAATTCTGTGCCTATTCATCCCAGTTCACATTTCTATGATATATAGGTGGCTCTGTCTCTCTCTTGCTCTCTCTCTGTCATATATATATAAAAATAATGTCACTACATCTATGCTTTGAGTTTACAATGTCATAAATTAGGTATTAAAATGAATCATTATTTTTCACAATCTAAATATCTTGTGGAACTGATCAACAAGCACTGATAATTACTATTTGCTCAGCTCTCCAGCAAATGGATTTGTCACATTGGTATTTACTCCACAATGAAATGGAGAGAAGAGAGGTTTTTATTTGTATGACAAATCTTTATTTGCTGACAAAGAGTTGAAAGGGGAACGATCTGATACACTGTTTGTGCTTCTGAAGCATGCTTCCGTCTGCTGCTGATGGCGCTGCCTTGGGTGTGAAAGATGCCAGGACAGCTCTGAAAATAGCCCCCAGTCTGGAAGATGAAAGCTTGATTTATTATAAATCAAAATGACTCAGAGGAAGTAAGAAGACAGACCTGAATTCCTTAGCACATCACTGCTGGGGAAGTGCAAATGTACTTCTAGTGAAAGGGTGCAATAGACTGCAGACTGTGTCCTTGTTGGCCCCTATGGCTCTGCCACTTTCTTGCTCTGAGGCCCCTATGGCCCCTGTCATCTGAGCTGTTTGCTGTCATTTACCCCCTCCAAGTAGAAGTTATTTTTCGCCATGCTCCTTGATGCCCCTCACATCTTGAGGACTCCCTGCCTTTCTTCTGGTACACTCTTCCCAGGATCACCAGCCAAAGCAGATCTAATCAGGGTGTCATCGGAAGTCCTTTTTTTCCTCAGTCTGCCCTTTGCTGTATGGATCAGTTTTGGAGAAAAGAAAATCCTGGAGCTCTAGGACAGCAAGGACTCAGTGGCTCCTACTGGCCTTTACCATCTTGCTTAGTAAATCTAATTTCATACCTGTTATTGAAGGATCAGACAGTGACTTGGGAACCCACAATCCTGAGTCAAAATTGAATTGGGCAAACTCGGGTCTTATCCGTAGGCTTGTGTCCTAGAGGACAAAGTGCCACAACTATGATAGTCTGTGACAGGGCATGTAAACTCTGACAGGGGAGTAAATGAGAGCTGAATTATTCCTCATGGATGCACCTTGAGGCAAGTCATTCCTTTTGCCAACACACCTGCTAAGGATTTAGCTTGCTTTTAGAAAGAGGCTGGGAAAGCTCAGTCACTGGGAAGTCTTAAGTTAAAAGGAAGCATCTGTCATCACTGTAGCCTGGACCTAGCCTGGACCCAGCGTGGAAACGGTTACAAAGGGGTTGTGTGTTTTGTCTTCAGTGCAGCTGGGGGGTCTCTGAAGAGAAATGCTGAGTCTTGCTGCTTCCAAATTAAAGCCCAGTGTTACCCCAAAAGGTGTGGGACTAAGCTGAGGAGCTGAATAACAGAAGAGAGTGACCACACAGGCCCAGAATGACAGTTGGCAGTGGGGGCCAGAGGATGCCATGCTTTGAAGGGATGCTCTGAGTGGTGCATGACATTCCTACCATCTCCAAATGCCAGCGGTCTTTGTGGCTCACCACTGGAAGGGAAAAGAGAATCTCCGAAATCCCAGTGCCAAACCCATCTCCAAGCCTCCATTGCATTCAGGAGATGTGTATGGGCAGAAGGACACTTGGAGCCATTTAAAATCATTTCAGGGTTGTTGTTTTTTTTAATTCTAGGAGCACTTGCTGATTATGCTGTTGCAGATCTTATATGCTAAAGGGGCTTATGGAAGAAAAGTTTGGTGTCAGACACCAATCAAAGGTCCACAGTCAAACAGCTGCCTTTGAGCAAATGGCTGGGAGACTGAAGCATTTGCAAAAACATTGTTCTTGTCATTAAAACAGCAAATGTTCTGTATAGCACCTGAGCATGCAGGCAACACACGATGAGAGTTAAGTCACCGATTTTCTGCTCGTGGGGAAAACGCGCCACCTTGTTTGATCTGTGTTATTGGGACTTGAGCTTGTTTTACTGATGACATAATTTCAGTTATTCTCCATGAAGCTGCTTTAGATTAATTTTTTAATCCCCGTGGTTTGTGTGTCTTTGTTTGGCTGACTGACTTTCATTCGTAAACCTGATCAGCTGGCCTTTGTATTTAAAAAAAAAAAAAATCATTTTATAGAATTACTGCAGACCTGTTCTTATCTAGTTATGGCTTTATTCAGGTATTAATTGTGTTCAGATTCAAAGTCCACCTATGCTTCCCAGGACTGCTTTTTTAAAGCTTTTTAAACTGTGCCAGCTTTTATTCTATGTGGTTTTGTTGGTATTGTTGTTGTTTTTGTTGTTGCTATTGTCATGGCCATTATGCGTAGCAGCCCCTGGCCGTAGGCCAGGACTTGACTGTGCAAGGCACCATATGAACCAAGGAAAAAAAATAGTCCCCTCTACAATGAGCTTGCAATGTAAGTAAAAGGAAAAGACACTGAGTGGATACAGACAGACTGGGGGGGGTACACGGAAACAGTGAGATGGCACTGATCAGAGCAATTCAGCACTGATAGGCATCCTCACAATGGGTAGTGTAAAGGAGAGCTTTGGAAGTGGATAATGAGGAGCTTTGAGGCTGTTTGGGGGACCTTTCCTTAAGCATGACAGAACACAAAAAATGACTGTTTAAAAATGTAACAAGTGGGTGAGGGATGCTGGCATCATTGGCCAGCTGGAGGTAGGAGGTGACATTTTGGTACTGAGCAGGAGATGATAGTAGGAGGGAATATCATGTGAATGGCTTGGATGGTGGAGCCATTTATATTTGCTGTGATAGTGAACGAGGAGCTAGTGGAGGGATGCAGAGAGGGGTGATGTGGTCAGAATCACAGCTAAATGAATCTTTGAGTAGATGCAGTATCTTTTGTTAGACCAACTGGGTAGTTGGAAAAAAGTTCTTGGCAAGGTTTTGGGCACAGTCACCCTTCTTTAGGCATAGGGAGTCTGCTGGTCTACAGAAGGGTGACTGAGCCCAAAAGCTTGCCAAGAACTTTTTTTCCAACTACTCAGATGGTCTAATAAAAGATATCACATCTACTCAAAGAACCTTGCCTACCTATGTCCTTAGATCAACACGGCTACAACCAAAAACCCAGCTAGCGGAATGATCTTCAGTGGCAGCCTCCTGGGTGGATGAAAGTGGAGCAAGACTGGATCTGTGAAGCCAAGGGAATAAGATATTGCAATAATAGATGGGGGAGTTTGAGAGCCTGGACAGAGGTTTTAGCTATGTTGGTGAATAACACCATGTGTTAGAGATATTACACAGAAAGGACCTGCAAGAGTTAGAAACAGCCTGGTTGTGAAGATGTAGAGGCAAAGCTGAAGATAGTGCCCTGCTGATGGACATGAGTGACTGGCAAGGTGATGGTGTTCCTAGTGATTAAGAAAGGGGAAAGGGGGAAGCTTAACAGCTTGGGTTTAGCACTGCTGAGCTTGAGCTGATGGTTGGGCATCCATTAAGAGATGTTAAAGGCAACAGGCTGAGATTTTAGTGTAGACAGAAGATGGGTCTGGATTAGAGAGGTAGATCTGTGGGTCTTCTGTACAGAGATAATAGCTGACTTTGTAGTTGAGAATGAGAAGCACTTTTGCTCTGGGTGAAGGGATAGGGGAAGGTAGCCACAGTCTGAGCCTGGTAGAACACATTCGAGTGTAGGTGAGGAGGATCCTCTGAAGAATATACCGAAGCAGCAGTTAGAGAAGTAGGAGAACCAGGAGAGGAGAGAGGCATGGTAGCCAAGGAAGGACAAGCTTGCAGGAAGAGGATCCACCATAGAGAGCACTGAAGACAGCTGACGGGGCATGGAGGATGAGGGTTTATTAGGAAGGGGCCACTAGAGACTATAGTGAGGGATTATTTGGTGGAGTGCAAGAGGTGGAAGGTGTAGCATGGAATTGGAGCTGAGGAACTCCACACAGCGTGCACATGAAAAAAGAGGTGAAAAGAAAAGGGAGATGGACATTGGGTAGAGAGGCAGATGGCCTGATTAAATTCATCTAGTTTCCCCTGTGTGCATTCCCCTCTCACATATGTCTGTGCATATGATGTGTTTGAAGACACCACAGAGGGGGAGCGGAGGTAGTTTGCGAATTAGCACTCTCAGATACAATCTGCATTAACTCTACTGCAAATGGCTGGCTATTAGGGCATCCCCACATGCAGCCCTATCAATGGAGAAGTGCTTTGTCCATGGTGAACCCACTTAGAGACAGGTTTTGAGGAGTTTGTATGACATCACAGTAAAAGAAAGCACCTGAGATGTATCTTACCTGGCAACCACTTGAACACATCCATCCCCTTCATTATGTTGTCCTTTTATTTTTAAAGTGACACCTGAAAAGTGTTGGACTGAGGTCAGACGGGGTCCAGCACTGTATAGTTCATCAGGCTGGGAGAAGACACCACAGAGGTAATGGAGCAGTTAAGAGGAGGACCTGGCACTTCTGCATAGGTCCTGAGCACAGGAGTCCACAGGTGCTAGCCCTACCTACTTGGAAGGAGTCAGCCAAATTCCCTCAAGGTCTTTCCTTTGCACCCCCTGAATCTTGCTCCACATGCTCTGTTCTTCTCTGAAGAAGGGAGCATAAGCACAAGCTGCCAGGCCATTGTCTTAACCCTGCTGAGGGAGCAGTGGCTCTACAGTGGGGAGAAGGGGAAGATGGTAGATCTGTCTCCAAGTTCAGTCCCCTCTTGGCTCCCCATTGAGAATGCCAGCAGGGGCACCACCTCAAGTCCAGTGGGATGCAGTTCTGTGAAGTGGCCAAGTATTTACCTGAAACTGGACTGATACAAACGAGTCCTTTCTGAAAAACAATCAGGTAGCCCTTAAAATTAATTATCCCAATGAATAATGCCAAAGTGCAGCCACTTACCTTGTGAACAGACCAAGACCTACAACCCAAGAAGCTGTCTTTCCCATGACCAGCTCCAAGCTGCCCAGTCCCTTCCTGGGTATTGCCTGGCTCTGAGTAGGGGGATGGAAGGGCACTGCTAAACCAAACAGCCAAGGAGTTTGAAGCTCTGTCTAGTGCAGGACCAGGAAGATCATGTTCTAGGTTTCACTGGGCCCCTGGTGTTTCTCTGGCTTGCACATAATACTTCCCATCAAGGATCTCACACATGTTACAAAGATAAGGATTAATACCCCAGTATGCAGATGGAAACTGAGCCAGCCTCAGGCCTCTTGCCCAGGATCAGACAGGAAAATAGTGGCAGAGCTGAGACTAGAATCCCAAGTTCCTTGACTTCTATTTCCATGCTCCAGCTACTAAACTGGTACCCCCCACATGTATAATGTGTGACTGGGGGAGGACATGAATGACGCTGAGGAACACATGCTTTAGGATAGATATCACTGTTGTTCTCCACTCTTGGACAGACAGCTGCTGACTTTTACATCTTTCTCTGTCAAACAAAATCTGCATTGCTTGTTCTTAGTGTTCCATTAATATTTTTCATCTATGCCTCTCTTGTTAAATATTCACAGAGAATTGCTTTCCAAAGCAGAAGTACCAAAGGAGCCACTGTTTACAGCTGTTTAATAACTCCTAACACTTACAGACTCCACTTCTCTGTTGTATTTTTCACTAGGGCTGGGAACAATGGGCCGAGGCATTGTGACTTCTCTGGTAAAGGCCAAGATGTCGGTAGTAGCCCTAGAGCAGGACCAGAAACAACTGGACGTTGGAAGAGAAGCCGTGACATCTCTTCTGCAATGGGAGGCTTCAAAAATGCAGCAGAGTGGCCAAAGCCAGGACATCTGTGACCCTGCTTGTCTCCAGTTCACTCTTGACTTTGGTGCATTGCGGGATGTAGACTTAGTTATTGAGGCAGCGTTTGAGGACATGGCACTGAAGAAGGAGATCTTCCGGAAGCTGTCAACCATCTGTAAGCCAGAGGTCTTCCTGTGCACTAATACTTCAGCGTTGGATATTGATGAAATTGCTGCAGTCACTAGCCATCCTCACCAAGTCATTGGCACTCACTTCTTCTCACCTGCTCATGTCATGAAGCTACTGGAAGTAATCCACGGTCGTCACACATCCCCCACCACCATTGCCACAGCCATGAGTCTGGCCAAGACCTTAAACAAAGTTGGGGTCTTAGTAGGGAATTGCTTTGGGTTTGTTGGGAACAGAATGATGGCTCCTTATGTAGAACAGGCAATTTTCCTTCTAGAGGAAGGTTGTAAGCCGGAAGAAGTAGACCAGGCTGTAGAGGGATTTGGCTTTCATATGGGCCCTTTTCGAATGTTAGATCTTGCTGGGCTTGACGTGGGCTGGAGATCTCGAAAGGGGCAAGGCCTGACTGGACCAAAACTGGCTCCAGGAACTCCTGCTCGCCAACGTGGGAGCAGGAGATATAGCCCCCTGCCTGATTTCTTGTGTGAGCAGGGAAGGTATGGCCAGAAGGCAGGAAAGGGCTGGTACTTGTATGAGAAACCTGGGGGTAGGACAGCTAATCCAGATCCCTGGCTGTACAGCTTCTTGTCTGAGTATAGAGAAACCCATGGTATTAAAGCCCGCTTTGTAGACCAGGAGGAGATCCTGGAGCGCTGTCTGTATGCCCTCATTAATGAGGGCTTTCAGATCTTAGCGGATGGGACAGCATCTGCCCCAGAGGACATTGATGTCATCTATATCTATGGCTATGGGTGGCCAACGCACAGGGGTGGACCTATGTTCCATGCCTCTACTATTGGGCTCCCCCATGTCCTGTCAAGGCTGCAGAAATATTCTGAGGCCCATCCTGACATTCCCAAACTGCAGCCGAGCCCTTTTCTGAAGAAGCTGGTGGCCCTGGGAAGCCCTCCCCTGAGAGAGTGGGTGTCCCATGTGGGACAGCCCAGCAGTAAGCTGTGACTGCAAAATAACCTACTCGACTTACAGTTGCCTCTCAGCACTGTAACTGGCACTATCTCTTTCCAGTAAAAAGCAAGACACAGCAGGCTCACCAGTAATGTCACTGCCCTTTCTGTAGCTTAGGCCAATGGAACAATTTCAGCCCCTAAGATTGTTTGAGATTGAAGAGAATAGATGCACCAATCAATGGTAATTGATGCACTGTCCTTGATCATGCTGCTAGGAGTCCCCATTGCCCACTCGTGCTACTACTCTGGGCCTGTCTCACTTCACCTGACTGACTCCATTCATATGACCACAGGCACATCTTTCACTGCCAGCCCCCTGGCCTCTCCCTCTTGCTGAGGGAGGGAGCAGCCCTTGATAGCCAGCAAGGCAGTTCCAAGCAGGTTAGGGGAGATGGAGCCAGCCACCATTCCCTGTAGGCATCCCAACCCAGCTCTGCCTTGCAGCCATGGCAGGTCCTCTCTCCTTCTTGCCAGAGTTTGGAAGTGGCTCCAGATGAGAGCCACCTGGGAAGGGATGGACCTCTCCCTCCTACAGGAAACAGGCAAGGGGCAGTAAATTATAATGAAGGAAGAGGGCAGGAGGAGATATAAACCAAGTGTGAGAGTGAGGGCCAGCACCTGGCACCTACCCCACCCCAAAAATCACAGGAATAAACACTTGCAGTTGCAAAGAAGAAAAGTACCTGACTGTAACTCACTTGTGAATGCCTGCTATTTGGCATCTGGCTTTCTACTCCCAGAGCCTGTCCCCTGCCCTCCTGTCTTTTCCCCCAGACTGAAGTGCCTTCTCTAATTTACAAGTCTGATTCTTTTATCTGCCCTTCATCAGCAATATTTTGCCTGCCTCCAAAAGACCTAGCCAGAGGGTTCTGTGTGCTCTGATATATGGGATAAAATGCCTTATATGACCCATAGCAGTGGTGCAGAGGGCAAAGGACTCACTGGGAAATAGATGGACTCCAGAGCTCTGCGGGCAGGAGCAGTGCTACGGGTAGGGAAGGTGGCCAAAAGAGCAGAAAGAAAAATATTCGCATTTGCTTCTTTTTGAGCTTAGCACTGCACAGGATCAGGACTTCATGTTGATCCAAGGGGGAGTGGGATGCACAGCTGCTTGTTTCAGGGAAGTCCATCTTGTAAATCGAACCTTCTGTTTCATTGATATTGTAATAAAATGATTCTTGCTTTCTGTCTTCACAGTTATTGTATTACTGTAGCTGTCAGCATTTTTGCTTCCACATGTTCCAGTCACTTCTTTGTCCTGTGGTAGCAGCTCTATTTCCTGTTGGAAGAGTAATTAGTGATACAGAGCCTGTGTCGTGTTTTCATAATGTAACACATTCATTTACACTTTATACCCACATGTCTTGAACAGAGGTGGCCACAAACAGCATGCAGACAATCCCCTCAACCAAAATACAGGTTGAGGTCTTCTTAGAACGAGTTCTACCCTAAGAATTGACTCTCGGTAGGAAGATTGGAGAAACTGTTTACAACAGCATTTCAAAAGAATTTATGTCTCAAAACTAAGAGCAGTGTAGTTCCAAAATTAAGCACTGTTTGCAAAAAAAAAAAAATTAACACTGCAATAATGATAAAACATGCATGAAAACAAGTGTTAAGGGTTGGAGTACATGTTAGATCTCTGCAGCATTGTAGAAACCAAGTCTGATCCTTTTTTCACTGAGCTGGAAGTCTTACGATATTAATTTTAGTCCAAATTTTTCATATAATGTCATAGCTGTCATAGGATTGGTTCAAAACTGAATGGACATTCTGCACGAAAAAAAATCTCTTTCTGTTCGGGTATAGCAGAACACTGATTTAATTCATGCTGAAATTCAGCAAAGACTACATTCTCAGAACTCTAAAGTAGCAGGGAATTAATTGTTAGCTAAGAATGGAGTGGGTTCTCTTCTTATGCTTAGCTAGATGGCATGTCATTGTAACACCCTTGGAAGAAAGGAATTAAGGACAGCGAGGAAATGGGGTTCTAGCATAGCACAGAGAAAGCTCCCTGATGCAAAGGAAAAGAATGGGGAACTCTGACTTGGCAGATGTCCAGAGCCTTTGGCACGGACAGAGAAGTCGTCCTGAACAGGCAGTCAGTCCTGCAGTCTGGGCTGTGCCTGAGAGTGGCTTTAGGGTTGGAGCTGAGAAGCATGTAACCCCCTGCCTCTCAGCCATGTGCAGCCTATCTTGTCTACATGGGCAGACAAGGATACATGGTGCAGAGTGCACTGCCTGGCACTGTTCTGATGGGAGATGTTGCCTTTGACCTGTAGGCAGTTACAGAACTTGTAGCTGATGGCTGTGCTAGCCACTCTCCATTGAGGCTCAATGGAAATGTTTCATAGTTTCTAGGGTCGAAAGGGACCTGAACCCCCATTAAGTCTGATCCCCTGCCCTGGGCAGGAACAAGTGCTGGGATCATAATACCCCAGCCAGATATCTATCTAACCTCCTCTTGAAGACCCCCAAGGTAGGGGAGAGCACCACCTCTCTTGGGAGCCCATTCCAGAGCCTGGCAGCCCTAACCGTAAAGTAATGCCTCCTGATATCAAGCCTGAACCTGCTCTCAATCAATTTGTGGCCATTATTCCTTGTTATCCCAGGTGGTGCCCAGGGGAACAGAGCCTTGCCTATTTTATGCTGGTTCCCCTTGGTGAGTTTATAGACGGCCACCAGATCCCCTCTTGGTCTTCTTTTGTGGAAGCTGAATAGATTCAGGCCCTTTAGTCTATCTTCATAGGGCCTGGCCTGCTGCCCCCTGACCATGCGAGTGGCCCTCCTCTGGACCCTCTCAAGGTTAGCCACATCCCTCCTGAAGTGTGACACCCAGAACGGGACGCAGTACTCCAATTGCAGCCTGACCAGCACCACATGGAGGGGAAGGATCACCTCCCTGGACCTGCTTGTGATGCATCTGTAGAAGCACAGCAAGGTGCGGTTAGCCTTACTGACCGCTTCCTCGCATTGGTGGCTTATGTCCATCCTGGAGTCAACAATGACTCCAAGATCGCTTTCAGCCACTGTGTTGACAAGAAGGGTGTTCCCCAGCCTGTAGATGTGTTGCTTTTTTCTTTCTTTCTCCCTAGATGCAGCACCTTGCATTTGTCTGCGTTGAATTCCATCCTATTCTCATCCGCCCACCTCTGTAACCTGTCTAGATCTAGCTGGGTTCTATCCCTCCTCTCCAGTGTGCCCACTTCTCCCCACATCTTTGTGTCATCAGCGAATTTGGACAGAGTGCTTTCCACGCCCACCTCCAAGTTGCTGATAAAAATGTTGAATAGCACACACTGCCCACTGCCCACATCCCTCCAGGTCAAAAATGACCCGTCCGCCACCACTCAATGGGTACGACCATCAAGCCAATTTGCTACCCATCTGACTGTGTAGGCATCAATGCTGCAGTCGCCTAGGTTTTTATGAGAACGGGGTGAGAAATGGTGTCAAAGGCCTTGAAGTCCAGGTAGACGACACACACCTCAGCGCCCACATACAAGGACTTTGTGACCTGGTCGTAAAAGGAAACAAGGTTAGGCAGGATCTGCCTGCAATGAACCTGTGTTGGTTGGTTACAACCCGTGTTGTAATTAATCTCCAATGAGGGGAGAAAGGGATAGATAGGGGTATGGAAGGTAGGGGCATGAGGGGCATGCAGAGCCACTGGCATGGGTGAGGGGGAATGGGTGAACCTAGTAGGTGGAATCACACATAGTGCCCAGACTGCAGTTGTGGTGGGGTTGTGGTTAGATCCTGAAATAGGGGGTTGGGAGGAATGGAAGGGAGAAAGAGGCCTTGTGTGCACCATGCATTTAGCCTGCAGAATAAATGCAGTAGGTGCCCCTCCCGTGTCACACAGCCAATTGCCATGGAAGGAAGAAACAAGCCTTCCTGAAGAGCCCAAGTGTTGGCCGTGTTCAGGAGATGAAGGTTAAGAGTTTCACCAACAAAAGAGTTTATGACAGGCCATATTTAACAGCTCAGGGAGAACAGGCTAGATCTCCCCCTCTCTCCGAGCAATCTTCGGTATTGGGGAGACTCCTCTGGGATGGTGACCACAAGGAAGGCCGTCATGACTCCTGTAGCCCATGTGGGAGACATCCTTGCTGCAAAGCTGAAGGCTGAGGATTCAAGCCTCTGCTAATAACCTGTTTAGCCCTGAGATTGACATGCAGAGAAATAAGCACCCAGGCCCACTGGGCATCCTTGACAGGTTTTCAAAAATATACGGTATTAAACAGGGTTGTCAAGCCCAGTTTGATTGCTTGAAGTGACAGGTGATATTGTCAGTGTAACTGAAATGAATCCACCCCCACCACACATTCTTGCTGGCTGAGTCCTACCCACTGCTCTTCTCTTCATGAGCCAGGGAGAAGAGGTGGCTTTTCAGTTGCAATAGCATGGTTTCACAGAATAGGATTTGTTTTTACCAAATTTCTTTTTTAAACCTGATCTATTTAGCTCTCACAGCAAAAAGGTATCTGCTAAACAAAGGCTTTGCAGTGAGAGGCCATTCCCACCTGTCAGCAACTGCACAACAAAATACACGTTCTGAATTTTGGTCACTTGTCAGAAGCCAGCAGGTTCAGAGGCAGCTTTGGATGAGCAGAAGCGGTGCCATTCACTAGAATGCAAGAAGCTCCCGAGATGTGCAAAACAAACTGTTCCTATCCCATGGGGAGGCTTACGCCCTTATTTTCCATCATCGCTCTTTGGTTAGTGGGCCATTGTGCTCAGAGGCAGGGATCTTGTGTTTAGCAGTGGTGAATTTCTAAGGTACCATCCGGCAAAAGCACTCTGCCGGTGAAGCAGATGCTGCCATTAACTGCTTGGCCTCCAGGCTTCTCTCAAAACAGCAACAGAAGCAGCACGCCACAGGAAAGAAAGTCCTCTGCTTTCACGAGTCCCCCCCAGGCAGTGCAGGACCTTGGGATGCCTCTAAAACAGCTGCTCCTGATGGCGCCTTGAGAAACACTCTCTCCTGCACATGACTGATTAGGACAGGCCATTCAAGGAATGTCAAAAAAAATCAGAGTGCATTTCTCTCGATGGTTTCCCCCCAGCCTTATTCCTTTTTTTTTTTTTTTTTTTTTTTTTTAAACTTAAAACAGTCTGTCCTGCAGTCTGAGCTGTGCCTGAGAATGTTTTCAGGAGTGGAGCCAAGAAGCACAAGCCGTGCAACTCCCTGCCTTCTCAACCATGTGCAACATATTGGACCTGCAGAGGCAGACAAGGATACACAGTGTAGAGGGTGCTGCCTGCCCCTGTTCTGCTGGGTGATGTTGCCCTGGATCTGTAGGCAACCACAGAGCCTTGCTAAAGCTGGTGGCTGCACTAGCCACTCTCCATTCTGGCTAAATGGAAATACAGTTAAGTGCCAGGATGGAGTAAAATGGCTGAAACAATAGAAGTGGCAACCTGAGGCACTGTGCTGCATAGGATCATCTGAGAAAGAGCTAACAGAGAAACAAAAAGGGGGGTTTCCCTAGTACAAGAATGAAAGTGAGGGGGCTGGGGAATTACAGCAACATGTTCAAGAAGCAGAAGATAGTTATAGGAAGTGAGAGCAGCAGTGCTGGACAAGAGCAGCTCTAGCAGGGAGGGGAGAGAGAGAGAGAGAGAGAGAGAGAGAGAGAGAGAGAGAGAGAGAGCTGGCTGGAGAGGCTGCCTTGAGCTAGGTGACAGCTTGTGGCTCTCTTTTCAGACAGATTCCAGGACAGTCTTCATAAATCAAAAGGATGTGCAAAAGAAAAGGCCAACTCAAACCCCCTTCCCCCATTTCTCCAACATGTTCCAAGTACTGCAGAGACACTTGGGCTGAGAAGCAATGGTATTTCCTTCAGCTTTGAAATGGCAGATGGAAGCCAGGCCTGCTAGCAACATTTGCGAGCGTGGAACACAGAGGTTGAAGTCATTGCATTTGACATCTTTCCCATGGCTGGATCAGGCTCCCTCAGACTCGTTAATAACTAATTTGTTTTTCATGGCATCTGTCTTTAACTCGCCTTGTGACACCCATGGTACAATGCCTGCTGTTTGACTGCATTCATGGCAGGCCTCGTGATGGGCCTGACCCTGCAGGCTAACGGCTTTGCCTCCACCAGCCTTATCTTCCTTGTAGTTCCCCCTGGTCAACAGCTGCCCTGCTCTAGTGACCTAGCTGTGGCGCCAGCAGGTGGCAATAGTGTTA